TAGATCTACTAAATGGTAAAACTAAGACTTTTTAGTGGAGTGTTCCTTTAACCCCTTAAGGACACATGACATGTGTGACATGTCATGATTCCCTTTTATTCCAGAAGTTTGGTCCTTAAGTTAAGGTGCAAACATCATTTCACACAAAAATCAGAGTTTTAAGACATATCAGTAATTGTCTTTTATTTTTCTTCGCAACTTCACATGCATAACCTCAAAGTTGACAGAGAAGCAGGCACCATTTCTCTTGCTAAATGCAATTCTAAAATATCACACAGAACATTTCTCTAACGTATTGTTTAGGTGGAGAATAGTGAGATCACATTTGGTTATTTGTTGTAGAGGTGGCAGCTGTGCTGAGAACTCACTATTCTCCTTTGGGAACCGTAAGACTCTCTGTGGATCAGTAATGCCATGGTATGCTCTGAAAACTCTCAGGTTATTGTTCCCTTCAATGGAATAAAATAACATTAAGTCCAAATTAAGACATGTGGAAGAAAACGGTCGCATTGAGCGACTTCATTTCTTTATACAATACGTTACAGTTTGTTTAATGCTATTTGGTTATTTCCAACGTTTTCTAGAATGAATGTCTCAAATTCCACAAGGTTTTCCATTTAAAAAAATGTGTATTGTTAAGAATCAATAAAAAAAAAAATCAAACCATGGTTTGTATGGCTTTATATCTTAAATCTTGCATTATAAATTACAAATTGATTTTTTTTAAATTAGTATTATAAATTGGTTGGTAGTTTTGAAACATAAAGTGCCAGCATTAGTTAACACGTGGGAATCTTTTTAAGTGGCGTGGCAAGAATGCCATCATAATGGAGTGGTATGAAGTTTTCCGTGTGACATCATGAAAGGATTGGAAAAATTTAATTTCAAGAGGACATAGATACATGCTTCAAGGGAGATTGAACCCTTCTGTTCTCAATACAAATGCTTTTACCTGTAAGCACAGGCACCCGAAAGGCAAACTCCGAACACCATAACCACTACAGTGCACTTGTAAGTTTTCAAACCATTTTTTAAAATAAGATTACTTTTTACCTGGTGTCCGCAGGTGCTACTCCCATCCTTTGCTATTTAACTGGAAGCTCCTAAGCAGGAGCTTCCATAGGTTTCCAAAATCTCAATATCTGAGAGTGTCACCTGATCACTTTGCACTATCAGGCTTAGCTCAGAGAGCTCCTTGCTCTTCATAAAAATGTAGTGGAGGCTGGGAGTGGAACCTGGCAGCCCGCAGGTAAGAAATCAAACCATTTTAAAACAATGGAGGGATGCCAGGGCACTATAGTGGCTATGATGTTTAGAGTGTGATGCGTGTGTTATTACCGGTGCGCGGGATAAATTTTGATTATACCTTTGGACACGAGTGATGCGAAAATATATTTACAGGAGAACACTGCTCTTATTCAAGCAACTACCCTAGTCCCTCATCTCCTATATTCACCGCCATCTAAATCCATATCCCACACATTCACCCATTGAGATAATTATAGGTTTCAACTGGGAATTAAAACAAGTTTTATCCACTCACCGACACATAAGGAAACACACGGTACAAATTGGTTTTGTCTATATATTTCCTAACCACTCATGTAGAAGAATGAATAAAGCATTTACACCCCCTATATGGACCCTCCTTTCCAAGGTTCAAAGCTATAATTAATATGTGTCACATTCAGATGCAATTCTACTCCCTGAAGCATGTTGTTACTTTAATGGGTTCTTTTAGGAAAAGGCCTTGCTTACATTGTCACTGGCTCCCGAGAAAGCTGACTATCCATTTCCTGGAGAGGTTCGTACAGCAAGATATGTAAAATTGTGTAATGCAAATGATTTGCTTTTGGCATTGGAAATGGAAGCAGCATCTGATCCTTCGAGGATCAGCAATAGTTCAGTTTAGTTCAGTTCCATGTCCCTAAAATGCACACATTGTAGTGTGAAATATGCTAATGTGAAATTCATGTTTCCACCAGCTGTCATTTGAAGACAAATGGAGAGAATTTCTAAAGCAATTGGAAAGTGTCTCTGTAAACATTCCCTACACTGCCTGTGTCATACATAAGTGTCTCTGCATGTTGTTTGTGTGGTTAGATTCACAGATCATTGTCTTTGTAAATACATTGCACAGATAGTAGATGTACACATTGTTTAAACCGATTGCATCTCTTGTTCTTTGCAGTGTTTATATCACTTACCAATGTATTGTGGACTGGATTTCATTTTTGACTCCGGTGTATTGATATTTTACCATACATTGCTGGGCATGACACGTTTTAAGTAATTCTTATACGTATACCATGTTTCTTCTACAATTTGTAACTTGTAACTATGTATTTCTTAAAGCGTTACCCCAAACATCATAACCACTACAGCATCACACTGTATAAAAGATCAATAAGCTTTATTTGATAATCCAAACAAATGAAATAATAATCCAAAACCCAGAGACACAATATAATAAATACAAGAAAATAAGTTTCCAATAAAAAGGTAATCAGAATACCTATCAATCTGTAACACAAGAGTCGGCGTACATAATGAAATATTAAAAAAAGTAAAATACAGGATTAACTACCAGAAGCAATGCAAACACAATGGTACAATGTTATATGAAAGAATTCAGATACCAAAAGACCACAATACCCCCAACGTTTCGGCCAAAATGGATTTATTGAGGGAGGAATTAGCAATGATTTCCCACCTAACCTGTGTCCCTGCTAGCCTCTGATTGTCCCTGGTGGTCCAGTGACATGATTCTGCAGAGCTGCAGAAGCCAGAAGCCACGGTGGTCACCATGACCGCTTTCAGCCAATAATTGACGTTTTCATTAGCGAGTCCAGAAATCTAGTTCTGGACTGGCTGACAATACCCCTATGATACTGCGGGAGGTGGAGTTACACCTCTCTCCAGTAAATTATTAATCTCTCTATGCTGCGTTTCAAACTGTAGCAGAATGAATGAACACAGAGCCCTGGTGCTAAACCTTGTTTTGGGCCAACTATTGGTCCAGACAATTAATCTCCAATTCCTCAAAAATGAACCTACTTCATTTTAATTCTATCTAATTCTGATAATGATATTTTGAGAATGGAGCTGAGGAGACAGAAACCGTGTGAAACTCCACTGAGCTACCCCACCAGCTCATTTTAACCATGTGACCTCTAGCTCTAAGACCATATGTTACAGTGTCATCAACGTATCTGTGTTATGGTTACACAGACCTACCGCACCCCATAACAAACTCTGACAGTCACTCGAAGAGAGATACAGAAGATAAAGTCCTCTGCTAAAGTACATCCTGATTGCAATTAAAATTAAGACATACTGTACAGTGAGCATTACTATGCTATGCTTTATTTTTGCTATCAGTAAGCAGACATACATTCTCACAGCATCACTCAGTGTGGATCACATTACGATCTCTTAAAGTACATTTTTTGTTAATTTATTGGCACTTTAATATTTCTGCACATACTTTGTCAGGTCAGTTCATTTACACATCACAAATTGAATCTTGGCTGTTTCATTCACACACATTGTTTACCCTTTGTGTGTATGACACATGGTTAGGTGTCTGCTGTTTGTATTGTGTATTGTGCATGTTGCTTGTTCTGATCGTATTATGTATCACTGTCACCACACACACTGCAGAAACAGATTTTGTTGTGCTTCCACTAAGCAGATCTTATCTTTCAATGTCTCCTGGAATGTAATTATCATGAGCTATAAAACCAGTTCCTTTGATAATATGTCATGATTGATTTCTGGAAAATAAAATATTTTAAAGTTGGTCAGAATCATCACTTACCAGTAGGATAAGCTATGTCCTACTTGTTTATTATAAAATTGAATTTCTCCCCCACCGTGAAATGTAATGCTAGCAAATATGTATGACGTCTAACAGAACCGGTTGCATGCAGCCTCCGTTCGCAAGATGGACAATCTTAATTTCTTTATACAAAGAGACACAGTTTGTAAGCATGAAGACAGCTTGGGTATGTTATTAAGGGGCTTATTTACAGGTGCCATGTTTTACATATTAGGATTAAACATATGAAAATGGTTTGAGGCACAATCATAAACATGTTGAATGGTACTTAACTAGAGTTGAGCGGACACCTGGATGTTCGGGTCCGGTGGGTTCGGCAAACTTTAAAAAAAAGACCGGGTTCGGGACCAAACTTGACCCCGAACTTGAACCCAAACCCAATTGAAGTCAATGGGCACCCAAACTTTTGGCCACAAAAATGCCTTTAAAAAACTCCTGGAAAGGACTAGAGAGCTGAAAAAAGGAAGTAAAATGGGGGTAAGTATCCTGCAAACAAATGTGGATAGGGAAATCACTTAAAATAACATAAAAAATGTAAAATACAGCTGAGCCATAAAATAGCACTAAATGGAATCTTTGATTTTAGCTTTGGAAGAACATAAATCAAAATCTAAAGCATGGCTGTCAGGAGGATCACCAGAAATATCCATTTGAGAGAGGGTTATTTGTTCAAACTGAGCTCAACTCCTGATGCATGGAGAAAAGGCCTTCACAAGCCTCTGCTATTGTGTACATAGTTTATACTAAGTGACCTATAGGTTGAGGAGGCAGTGACCGTGGCGGTGTAGGTGGAAGCAGAGGTAGAGGAGGAGGTAGCCAACACTGTTTTTTATATATATATATTTTTTATTTTAATTGGGGTAGCCCCCAAAATATTGGGACATATAAAAAAAGAAAACTGTTCCGCAGAGCGACTGACCCGTGCGTGCTGCATCTGAAACTCCATGATCCCCTGCTGCTGCTCGCACAGTCTCATGAGGCGGTGAGCGGGAAGGCCAAAGTTACGCTGCAGCGCAGACAGGCGAGCAGCAGCAGGGTGAGAACGCCAAAAGCACGCACAGACGGCCCGCACTTTCTGCAGCAGCTCTGAAATATCTGGTTATACACCGTGGCATCACAAGGGCCACCCAGAACTGGCTCAACTCTCATCAATCCAAGTTCCCGAAGGAGATTACCCAGCTCGTCATGCTAGAGCACTTTTTCAATGTGCTCCCCAACGAGAAGGTGACGGCGCATTCGTATGTCAATCCATATCAACTTTCGATGCCATTGACTGCGCCTACCATGGTGACCACCGGTAACGGGGAATCAGGGTTCGATTCCGTACGGGGACCCTGACAAACGGCTACCACATGCAAGGAAGGCAGCAAGCGCGCAAATGACCCACTCCTGACGCGGGAAGGTAGTGACGACAAATAACAATACAGGACTCTTTAGAGGCCCTGGAATTGTAATGAGTCCACTTGAAATCCTTTAACTCTGATCAATTGGAGGGAAGTCTGGTGCAGAGCCACTGACCCGTGCGTGCTGCAGCTGAAACTCCACTATCGCCTGCTGCTGCTCAAACAGTCTCTCCAGCATGTGCAAGGTGGAGTTCCACCTTGTGGACACGTCACATATGAGGCAGTGAGCAGGTAGGCCAAAGTTATGCTGCAGCGCAGACAGGCGAGCAGCAGCAGGTTGAGAATGCCGAAAGTGCGCACAGCCACTACAGTGAATATCACATCCTGTTCCAAGTTGCAGATCAGTCTGGTGATGGCTTCTGGTATCCAGTACTCTTTTTACTGAAGCTGCATCAGGGTCCTGGTATGTGGCAACACAAATGCTGGTGCTCAACACCAGGGGGTGTGTGATTACCCTGCACCAGACCCTGCTAATCCATTCCACACTGTGACTCCTAACTTCTACATCAGGCATACTGGGTCCCGGTCGTCCGACCGCTTCCCAGACAGTGTCTGGGTCCCGGTTACCGGACTGCGAATGGCTCGTTAAATCTGTTATGGTTCTTCTTATCGCTTCAACTGCTACTTGGATAACTGTGGGAATTCTAAAGATAATACATGCCGACGAGCGCTAGGGGACGACTGCTCTGTTTTTTGCACCCTGCTCCCTCTTATGCTGTGCTGGTGCCTCTGTGTGACCAGCGCCTCCTCCTCCAAACTGCACACGTCACTCGCATGACCTTGATTCCATGTGGGATCTAGGACCTCATCATCCTCCACATCATCTTCCACCCACTCCTCAACCCTGCCCTCCTTGCCGGTATGCACACTGCAGAAAGCCACAGCAGTTGGCACCTGTGTTTTACCAGCATATAAAGTATGCAGAGGACATATGGAAATTGTTTTAGAATTGTATCCAGGCAACAGTTTTCCCTAGAAACTGACATCTCAGTTTGACTTGAGAGGGTATTGCCCCAGAATTACAATATTGTTTCAGTACCTCTTAGCTATTGATAACTGGTTTAAATATAGCAGCTTGTTATCTGGTAGTTTCTAGTGTAGAAAATATCAATCTGTTTTCTATCACTTAGATCTGTGTAACAAGTGTTGTAGGTGTGAAACAATATTACAAGTGACCGATGTATTAAATTCGAATCAAAGTTACGCTTCTATTTGACTCTCAGAAAGGAAGAAAATGTACTATTTAGCAGGTTAGCACCCAGAAAATAAGAATGTTTATCACTGCACTGTAACCGCACTATTAGACGCTTCTATTTGACTCTCAGATATGAAGTGCACGCCCCAAAATTTACTATTTAGCAGATTAGCAGCAAAACAATTAGAATGTTTTCCACTGCGCTGTAAGCACACTATTAAACGCTTCTATTGTACTCTCAGATATGAAGAGCAGGCCCCAATATGCACTATTTAGCAGATTAGCAGCAAAACAATTAGAATGTTTAAAACTGCGCTGTAAGCACACTATTAGATGCTTCTATTTGACTCTGAGATATGAAAAGCAGGCCCCAAAATGTACTGTTTAGCACCAAAACAATTAGAATGTTTACAACTGCGCTTCCCAGTACACACGATTTAACCGCTTGTTGATTGGCTGCCCTGCAGCCTTTGAAAATGCACCATTAAATTGCCGAACACCGAACTCCAACATGAACATACAGTGATATGTCCGTGTTCGGGTCCGGGGACCAAAAAACACAATGTTCGGTACGAATCCGAACTTTACAGTCTGGGCTCGCTCAACTCTATACTTAACCATAATAAACATCAGAAAACATAGATTTACTAGCAAAATATCATTAGATGGAAATTAGCATAAGTAAAGAAGAGTCAAAAGTTGTGCATTCTAAGTCCATGAGCATGGTCCCGTATGCCCTTGAGTAGCAATGTAATGCCAAAAACGATATTGTCTAACTGGAGTAGCACAAATTAGCAAAAGGGTCTACTGGGAGCACAAACACTCTGTAAGAAAACTCTAGAAACTGCCACTATACATTCACTAAATGGTATTCACTAAGGGCTTTGCGGAGTCTCAGACCGTTTTGCTGGCTGAAACGTTGCACCTACTGAGACCAGGCCCAAGGTCTGAATAGGCGAGTACTGTCTGTTAAATAAACCTGGTTAGTGCGCAATGTGCTGCTCTCTCCTGTGGCACAACATTTTTTAACTAAATTGAATCATAGATGCTGTGCATGTAATCTGGAAGATGATATCTGTTGTATGGAACCACTTTGTTTTAGTAATGGATTAATCTGTGATGAGATTAACACTAGTAATATGTATGCACAGATTCTATTATCTTTACCGCTACATATATAAACGAGGCCATTTCAGTTTCAGAACAGTTTGCTGGGATGCTCTAAAGTATATGTTGGATCCTATCCATGGACTCCATTTAATATTGTTTGATAAGCTTTTAAAACTATTTCATATTTTTGGATAAACTGTTAAATTATTTTTTTAAATTGTTAAAATAAAAAAAATAAAAAAAATTGTGTGTATGTATATGTGTATATGTATGTGTGTGTATGTATATATATATATATATATATATAAAATATCAAAATATTACAAAATTAAAAAATATTTACAAAGATTATCCAAAAATATTACATTATTTGAAAATATTTTTTTTTGTCATTATCTGGATATGCACGCAAGCTCTATCACCTATAATCATTGGGGTGTAAAGCTGTTAGGGAGATACTAACATAGATGGTTTCATATAATTTGGAATGGAAGGAAATGGAATGCAGGATGCTATGATAGCTGATTGATAGATATGATTTCAAGATAATATGAGCAGGCCTTTGCATTACTACTCTCACCGTTGTTAAATACATGTACATAATGATTGTGGGGGGGTAAATGTGTATTGGGAGCATATAGCACAGAACTGCACTCAAGACTGCCTGTTCTCTGTATAAACCTAGGGACATAAGAAAGCTTATTGATGGGTTGTGACCTTTCCATGCAGCCCCGGGCTTGCATACCAGGAGGTATAGATTTAAGCAAGTGATACAACCAGGTAGACCATGGATAATAGGGTGCAGTATATTAAATGCTTGGTAACCTGTGGTTTGGTGTCTCCGTCTTAAATGCACCCCCAGATACCCCAGAATTTATGCCACTTATGCTATAACATTGTCATTAGTTTTTGTCTTTTCTTGTATAGTTTATGACTAAAAAGATCATGGCTATAGATGACAGAGGTAATATGTATACATGCAGGTTTTGGTATAGTGTTGAATATACGTGCAGGAAAATCATGTTTATCAATGCATGAAGAACATAGCTGGAAGAGTAAGATTTTTGACAAGGTCCTAACACAAGTAAACACTTCTGAGCTTGAAATCCTTTAGTGTTAAATTACATAAAGGTCCCTGAGGACTGGATCTGTACTTCATACCCTAGGAAAGGGCCAATGTCATCTTGTGGGAATTTCTTTTCATTATATTCACTGTATTTCTCAGCCTTCTTCATTAACTACTGTATTTGGGTCCAATTTAATATACTTATTGCAGTTTACAGCTTTCCTTGAGGGAATGGTATGATAGGGCATTTTTTTTCTCTAGATTAGATATGTGAAAAGCCTCAGTCTATCTTTTGTCTCCTATTGACAAACACATAAGCAGTTATTGCCTCCCTGTGTATTCACCGTCTGCAAAGAACAATCCTGTGATCAATTGAACACTTGGAGGGAATATACTAAGGGGTTATAGATTGCAAAAATCTTAATAACACAGTGGGTTCTTAAAAGCAAAGGTTATTAAACGCAGAAAAAAATATATAAAATCAAGCAACCACATGGCAGTGGGAATCTGAGATAACCGGTAATGATAAAAAGAGACAGGAGCAAATCCCTTTTGTATTTCATCATTGAGCAAATTGGCCCTTAGAATTCTCATTGCCCCACTATGTATTTTTCAACTCAAATGTATACACCTAACCATCATGACATCATACATTAACATGCCCCCAGGAGCCTCATCCAAAATGTTCAGTACAATCCAATTATTTATGTATTTATTTTTTGCATGAAGATGAATTGTATTGAAATGTTCGATGCAAGGGAAGGTGAAAATCGTAAAAGAGATTGGGGTTGCAGTTGAATTGTACGGACTTCTCCAGTTATAGTGACTATATTTTTAGGAATTGTTAATGGCACTCATGACATTTTCATTGGAAATAATGGATTGGGCTCACATCCTGCACGTGTGTGGGCATTACATTATTTTACCTATAACCAACTCGTTAGCTGTTCAAATTCAGAAGACCTGTGCACAAATCCTTTTCACCTGCGATGAACCATTCTTTGAAAACTAGAAAATGTTTTAAAAAGGTACATGTCAATAGTTATTTTGACGCAACTAGGTGTCATCATAAACATGAAAAATACCTCTTAGATTTTATAGTATGTACAAGAAAGATAAATGTTGGAGAGGAGAAGACGATTTTAAAGAGCTTAGTAAAGTTGAGAGTAGGTGGATTTTTGATGTGGATACTATATCATCCAAAGGGTTGAATTTAGATTTTGAGTTTGCTAATTTTTTATATGTTTTTTTTTTTTTTACCTTTTTACCTCCTTTTTCCACATTTTTCCACATACTCCAACTTTTACATTGGATAATTTCTTATAAGGTTGGTTCTTTATACTGATATATTTCCTTTCTATATTGTAGTTTTTATGCTGTATATTTATTTAAACTATTAATTGCTTTCTTCCATACTTAGCTGTTTTTTTTTTTGGTTTTATATATACCTTGTTTCTGTTGGTGGTTGTGATGTACATGGATTTTTTAACAGATTTATTTTGTAAGTTCTCATTCCTCATTCTTGTCCTCTATGGAATTATAGACGTTTGGATTATTAAATATTTTTACAAGCAGCACATTTGTCCACAACAAATATGGTGTGTGAAGCACATACAAGTTCCCCAGATAAGACCGGAATTGAAATAAGAAAAAGTCAATAGATATGACATTGCATCATTTCCGCTCCCACCTTTTCAGTTTGCCGAATGCTGTCAGAACTGGAAATGATGCAAGACACACGAGGAGAAGGTGGAAATTACTATGGGAATTATA